GACCCCAATGTGTTTGATTTTAATGAAATAATAGCAAAAGATAATCTTAAAGAAAGACTTAGTGATGAACAAATCCTGCAGTTGGGAAAGTTGTTGGATAAAGTTTTCTGCTATATTTTCGAATATTCCAGGGAAAACAAATTTAGTCGAACATGATATCGAACTAATCAGTGACAAACGCGTACAGCATAAGCCTTATAAGAATGACAAATCGACAGAACGAAATTCTTAAAGTTCGAGATTGAAAAAATGTTAAAATACAAGATTATTGAACCAGAGCCCTCTGAGTATACTTCACCCATGATCCTTGTTGAAGCACCAGGTAGGTCCTAGGCCAATCCTAGGCCGTGTATTGATTACAGAAAGTTAAACGAAATAATGCGTACTGAGTTCTATCCGATCCCCAATATAGAGCAACGTGTTGAAACTGTTGCAGCAGCCAAATTTATCACCCTGATAGACTTAACTAAAGGTTATTGGCAAATTCCACTGACCCCTAGGGCTCAGAAAATTGCTGCATTTGCTACAAATTTTGGTGTATATAGGCCTTTGTGCATGCCATTTGGGCTTAAAAATGCTCCTTATTATTTCAGTAAAATGATGAGCAAAATATTGTGCGGATGTGAGAAATATGCTACCCCTTATTTAGATGATATTGCTATTTTTTCTGAAACGTGGGAGGAACACTTACAACATTTACATGAAATTTTAGAAAGAATAAGAAAAGCCAATTTAACTATTAAACCCTCTAAGTGCAAGTTTGCACAAGAAGAAGTGCAATATCTCGGTCACATAGTAGGTCGAGGAAAACGTTCTCCAGCAGAACTAAAAATCGAGGCGGTTCAAAATTTTCCTGTTCCCACAACTAAAACTGAGATTAGAGCTTTCTTAGAGCTTGTAGCTGGATACTACAGACAATATATATCTATGTTTTCTGCTATAGCCGCACCTTTGACAGATTTGTTAAAAGGGAATAACAAAAAGGGTAAAATTGTTTGGAATGATGAATGTAATGAATCCTTCAAATCGTTAAAGGAAAAGCTGTCTAGTGGGCCTGTGCTACATGCACCCGATTTTTCTAAACCATTTATACTACAATCAGATCAAGGATATGGTGTTGTTTTAGCCCAAAAGGATGATAAAGGAGAAAGAACATCCCATATTGTATCCTCAGTAAAAAATTTACTGATAGTGAGCGGAAGTATTCCACCACTGAAAACAGAGTGTGCCGCAATTCTGTATGGAATAAAAAAACTGAAAGGGTATATAGATGGGCAGACTAAATTTTCCATTCAAACGGACCATAATCCCCTAGTATGGCTAAAAAGATAATGCAGGTAGAAATGGTCGATTATTACGCTGGGCCTTAGCCTTGCAATCTTATAATTTTACGAATACATCATAAAAAAGGGAAAGTGACAACTTAAATGTAAGACTGCTTAAGTAGAAACTCTGTACATGCCAGTTAAATAGACTAGTTATCATTTCTTTTAAAGTTGTCTTGTTATTTGATTATGTATATTGTATTTATTTTTTTTTTTTTTAAATTCATACTATATAGTAAATTGTTAGCTTTATTCTTAAAGACAAACATTTTTGTGTTGATTTTCCATATATTGTATATGTATTTTTATATGTGTTCTTTTTATGATGGCCTGGTTATGAGAGTGGAGAGCCTTTGTAACAGTGTGATTTAAAATTAACTGGTAAAATGTTGAACAATCTATTGAAACCATAAACTGTGAACTGTGAAGGTTTACTTCTCCTGTGTCCGGAGAAACAAAAACTGGAGGCGGAAGTAGCGAACGCCTGCCTGAACTTGTATTTTATCCCGTAGGAACTTAAAAAAAAGTTTGTTTCCTCTGTGTCCGAGGAAAACAAAATCTGAAGGCGGAAGGAACGCTCCTGTCTGTAAAGAACGCTCCTGAACTCTCTACTAGAAAGACCTTTGATGCTCTTGACTAGAGAGAACGTCGTTAGCAAACTCCTCACACTACGAGTACTATAATTCATTTTAACACCTTATTTAAAGAACTGTGAATGGCAACGACTTAACTGAGAATTACGCATGCGTAAAGAGATGAGATTTCTGCGAGACGCCTGTCAGAGAGGAGAGAGTTTGGGAAGCTCTGCCAGCGAGCTGAGGTGTGGAGATTAAATTTGTCCAGTGATGACGAGTGCTATCTTCATTAACGTCTCTGATCGTGTCACCAACTCGGATATGTACTCAAGTTTTTCTAAATGTATTAATTAAATGTTGTATCTGTGTTATGTTGTGTAATTAAAGTGATGCATCACCAATACCAGTGTTGATTCCGTTCCCACTGAAGCATCCACGACGTCACAGGCCATTTCTAACTATTCCAAGCAAAATTTAACACCCGTTAATTCATTACTGATGCAGTTTATAAATTTGACTGCTGCAGTAAATGGCAGATGACTGTTCTCATACCAATTGCTGCTTTGAATACCAATGTGGTCATTGCACTTTTCTATGTCGCATTTCCAAGAAGGTTGTTTTCCAAAATACATCTTAATCAAACGCAGATATGAACATTCCTGATTTTGTGGCAAAATATTTTATGCCTGCAAAAATTTCACAGAACTTTCTTTCTTTGCAGGCAGATTCCACAAGTGCATATTTCAAAATTCAGCTGAAAACCAAAAATTTTGTAGTTTTAGTGGCTCTAAATTCAACTAAAGCAGCACATAAAAAAATGTCATTGTTGCTTATTCAAACTTAGTTATTGATATAGTTACTGAAGAATTATTATGCGCAAAATTTCCACAATTTGGCTATTCTACTAAGGTGGTTGCGATAATACCAAAATAGTGAAGAATTTTTATAAGTCAAAAATAAACATATTACCCAAGCTTTGTACAGTTTTATGAGTTTGTGTCCACAAATGCACCATTAGTTGTATGTAGGATATCCATATATTTCATTTCTGTGATTCAACATATGCTGTACATTGTCAGTTCTGGGATATTTGAAGGTTGTTGAGAAGTCGAGAAGATGCCTTTAGCATTATGGTTATACAGTACAAAGTCCGAAATCCGGAATGATCTAAAATCCGGAGCTCAAAATCACCAACAACTTTTTCTCATAGATTTTATAGATTTTACGCATGCGCATTTGATTCCCCCCTCTCTGCATAATAAAACATCTGGAGAGTCGCCATTCTTAATTTCACTTTGACACTAAATAAAATACCTTGTTATTGAAAAAAACAATTATTTTATTCGTAAATTTGTATGATCAGTAATTTGGCTCCGTTGCTGTGTATGTGCTTGGCCATATATCTCAAACCCAAACATTCCACATAGATACATCGTTGATCTGACGTGAACCGGGAATCATTATTTATTATACTTTTCTTTCATGACAAAACATGACAAATTGAGTAATGACTCATGTAGCGATGCCTAAACAATTTTTAAGTTAGTAATTTAATAATAAAGGAGTATGAAAACCTTTCCATTGACATTATGCATGGTGATGATTACAAATTTAAGTTAAATGTCCTAAAAAATGTTGACGAGGAAAAATTTACCAAAACTTTCTTTCCATATGCTAAAAATAGATTTTGTTGATGATACTCATAGACTCAAGAGTACATTTAGGGCTATTTGAATTAAGAATAACTGATTTGTTATTCACATAAACCCAGGACCAGTACCAGGGCTCGTGTGGCCGCATCGAATCAGAGAATTTAGAGCCACAGAGACTGCATCAGGCGATAAGATATCTAGTGCCGGTTCTCAATAAGGCTTAAGTATGTGGTGGGATTTTATTTATTCAGAACTCTGATAAGCTTTAAGCATGTGCAAGAAATAGACATAAATATAATAAATAACTAAACTAATACAATTTAATCTTAATTGTCTCAGTGCATGATAGAAGCAAGATAAAATATAAGGGAACAACTTATCGTTAGTCGCCAAGCTCATGATGCATAGCCAAATATGTATAGTGAAGGACGGCTAATTTTAAAGGTTTTCGGATATCGCAAAACAAAGGTGAAATTTTCCAATTAACAGATTTTGTAAAGAAATGTGGAGAAGCGGTAATAAATGAAGATTATATAAAAGAAGTTTTTCATTGTGATAAAAATGCTTCTCAATTATCAATCAATTAAATAATGGCGAAATCTGTAGTATGGTTCTCAATCCAGAAAAAATCACTCCCGATAGCTGAGAAAGTGACAGAGAAGTTAATGAAAACGAGAAAATTTTGATTGACAAGTTAGTTGGAATTCTCAAAATAGCAGGACTTCAATGTAACTAAACAAGAGATTATGTCTGTCTACAGAATTAAAGAGAAAGTATTAGCACAAAAAATGAAGCAACTTGCATTGAAAGGAATGTTTTAATAAGTTAAACAAATAAATATTCAGATTTTTTTTTTTTTTTTTTTTTTGTATATTTTGATACTCTTTAGATCATAAATACTTCATTATTTCATAAATCATGATTTCATATTTTTTATTTTATAATTTCTACATGCCATCTTACTAGATTTAAACTGATGATCTGTTATCCGGAAAAATCCCAAATCTGGAATCGCCGAAGTCCCAACGAGTCTGGAATTCAGACTTTGTACTGTATTATCAAAATTCAAGAATATGTGAATCATCTTTACTTCATTTTGAGTGGGCAGTCTACATAATGTTATGGAGGATCAGTCCTGATTTTCATAGGTTTATTATATCAGGATCAGTTATTACATCATGTGTGATTAATGTGAGTCAGCTGTTTTAAAAAAGTCCTAATTCATTTTATTATTATATAAAAAATTATTTAAGAAATAATGACTAATTTGATTATTATTGAATATTTTTTCCTGATATCTGAATTAAAACTTAGAAAAAAGCTAAATTCTTCCTGAGAATAAATTATAGTTTATACTGAAACTTCAAAATCAATTTTCAGTAAACATCAACATAGTTGAAATTGTTTTTATACATACTGTATTTACATTTTTATTCATTTTATTTCAGACTTTGTGGATACCCTCCATTTTATGATGAAAATGATGCCAATTTATTTGCACAAATACTGAAAGGAGAGTTTGAATTTGATTCTCCATATTGGGATGAAATATCTGACTCTGGTAAAGAAATTTATTTCATTGTTATTTAAAAAAGAAGATAGTTAAGGTTAGTTAGAAACATATACATACTGTTATGATTTAAACACATTTTTAAATTTGAAGCAATAACTTTTATTCGGAGAGAAATTTTAGGAGAAATAATTTCATTTTGAAAAACCGGATGATCGAGGAGTAAACTATTGTCTCATACCAGTGATTGAAATAAATAGAAATAGAAAGAAAATTGAATTTATGTAGTAGCAAAATAAAATCCTCTTATAGATAACATTATATACTTGTAGTATTGGGGTGATAAAAAAATTTATATATTTAACTCATAGAGTGGCAGCACTTTTTGTAGACAATTTTTAAAGTAATATATTTATTAAGAGTCACTTTTATTCCATAATTTCATAACAAAAATTATATGAGAATGATTTCTAGTCATTAAAAATACTTGAAAAGAAAATATTTTAAAGAGCAAAGTAATACATATAAATTGGCAACACATCTTGGGATTTAATGAAAATAATCTGGCTAAGAAGTTTTAAATGTCTTGATGTTGTTTTCTTAATAGAAAAGTGAACCTGCATTAATGAAGATGTTTTGGCAAGCTTCACTAACTGCTATAAGAGCAACCTGATTATCTGCACTCCCACCAAAATGTCACAAACTCATTATTGACTTCAGATGGCATTCACAAACTCGTTGGCAACTAAATTTTTGACACTCTAATGCATGAAAGGCAACAGTCATTTTCAAGATGATGGTGCACCAAGAATTCCATATTAGAGCAAAAATTGTGCACAGTTCCATATTAGTGCATTATTTTCATATTAGAGTTATTCCATATGCACATCAATCTCATTTTACTTTAAAAAAATATCAGAGTATTGGATAAACTTGTCATTTGGCATTGCGTATAAGCCGAAACAGACGTGCTGTGTATGTAAATCAGTTCTGTTTCAGGTTGCCATATAACTATTTTACTAACATGCTACTCCCCCTTTTTAAGGGTACTTTTCAAAAGGGGCTATAATTAGGAAGTATCCATCTCTCTCTCTCTCTCTTTTTTTTTTTTTTTTTTTTTTTTTTTTAAATGTACGAAAATCTTTTAGATATTTTTTATTCTGAACCAATCTTTTATTTGGTGATAGTCAAGTGACTTTATTGTTTGAGATAATAAAAGGGCTAATTAACTTGTATTTAGGTTATTGTATTTTTAACTTAATTATATATGGTTGTTAATTGAAGTTCTTGCTTTATAAAAAATTCAGTAATCTATTAAGATTTATCAACTTATAAAATTATTATTCTGTCGATTTTATTAGAATTTATTATCATTAAAAGTTAAAAAAATTCCTCAGCAGAACTGTTAAGTATTAGTTCTGTCAAACATACCAAGTTCATTTGCATGATTTAAAACGAAATTATTTTGCTTGTTAATTTTGCATTTTTCTCAAGAGGATATGTTTCATTAAATTGTAATCTGATCAATTTCAATGCAATTAAAAACACATTTTGAGTGATATGAAAGCTTTTTTGTTTTCTATTAAAAGAGTAGTATAAACTTAATAATTATTATGAATTTGACTAACAAATCTGCGGACACAGACCAGACTAAGTAATCCACCCCCCAACTTAGTATATTTTAAATTCTTTGAATAAAATTAAGTATTTTTATGTCATTTGAGAAATACTAAAACGAATTCTGTTTCTTTGATTTATTAAATTATTATGAAGTTTGCACCAACTTTTTAGGATTTCATATGATTAAGTCTGTTTTTTAAATGTGATTGATATTAACAGTTTATATATTATTGTATTATTTGTGATAAGTACTTACAGTTTTCAAGTGATTTATTTGATTTAATTGTGCAGAACAAGTTTTTTTATTTCATTTTTCTCGATAATGGAAGAAAAAGTAATTTACTAGAACTAGTCAAACATAACATGACTGAAATATTTACACTATAATATATAGTTACTTTAAATCTTGCCCTTTGCATGCTAATATGCCATTTTACATATTGCATTATAATTTTTTTTTTTTTTTCCAGCAAAAGATTTTATCCGTCACTTAATATGTGTGGATATGGAAAAGCGATATACATGCAAACAAGCATTAGCTCACCCGTGGTATAGTTTTCTTCTTTTTTCTTTAATAGATTTTGATAATTTTATTGATAGATTTAAAATATTTCTGTTGTGTTTTCTGTTACATAGGATCAGTGGCAATACTGCTAGTGATAAGAATATACAAGCTAGTGTGAGTGAACAGTTGAAGAAGAATTTTGCCAAGACAAAATGGAGGGTAAAATATCTGTTTCAGTTTATTTCTTAGTTCAACAAGATTTGCATTATTACTGTAATGTACTACTCATTTTCCATACTTGTACATTCTAGACCTTGGTTAATTGTCAGTTTTTCTTCAAGCATAAGAAATTTGTCAGTTTAAATCATAGTAAAAAAATTGTGATTTGATGTATTTCATGGTTAGAAAATTTGGAATTAATATTTATACTTTACACTGACATTGGTTTTAAATAAAAGTTTGAAAATATATTGCAAAACTACCTTGAAGCGCAGTATTCTGCACGGTCACATCACTGTGAATATCAGTGGTGATTTATGATGCCAGTTAAATAATCAAAAGGGAGGGATTGTAAAATAAAAACTTTTCAAAGTCCAAAGCTTTTTGTTTATATATTTTGAATATTTTTATCTACAGAAAAGTTAGAAAACTAGCTTGATTGACCAAAAATCATTTAATGCTGAAAAATGTATTACAGGGTAACCAAAAACATTTGTGCCGGTTTGCACAGTTAGAAATAAAAACTCGTAAAACAAATAATAATCACCATCGGCATCCAGTTCCTTTTGCCAATGAATGGCTAGCTGTGCGATGCGATCGCGGTAAAACTCGGGAGTCTTGGATGCAAAGAAGTCTGTGAGGGTCTTTTGAGGTCTGGATGGTTGTTGAAGAATTTCCCATGAAGATGATTGTCCAGGGAATGGAAAAGGTGGTAGTCTGTTGGTACGAGGTCTGGGGAGTATGGTGGATGGGATACTGTCTCCCAGTCCAGCCGCTGGATGGTATCCCTGGTCTCCCAAGCCACATGCGGCCTCGCTTTGTCATAGAGGAAGAGTACACCATAATGATTGACCAATGCTGGCTCTTTATGCATCAGTGCCTGATGCACACGCTCCAGTTGATGCAAGTACAGGCGTGCCGTGATTGTTTGGCCCACTGGCAGGAGCTCATAGTGCACAACTTGGCGACTAGTTCACCAGATACAGAGCATGATCTTGTGTGGGTGCAGAGAAGGTCTCGCAGTGTGAGGCACCGGGTGTGTCATACTGGAACCACTTTTCATCACTGGTGAGTACTCGTTCAAATATGGATGCATTGCAGTGCCAAATAGGCAATGACAAACAGGCAGTGACACACTGTTGCTTGTTTGCATCAGACAGTGAGTGGGATGCCCACTTGCTCAGTTTATGTGCCTTTCCTATGCGGTGCAAATGGAGTCTGATCATTTTATCAGATACATAGAAGTGTGCAGCAAAGTTACCACATGTTTGGCTATTCTCATTCTCTATGACTGCTCTCAGGGCCTCATCATCCAGCGCTTGTGGCCGACCACTGCGTTTTGCATCACTAAGAGACATATCCCCTGACCTGAACTTCTGGAACCATTGCTTAATCAAACCGGCACAAATGTTTTTGGTTACCCTGTAATACATTTTTCAGCATTAAATGATTTTGGTTTGTTCGTTAACAGGATCATCCCCAAAGGCCAAGCAAATTCGGCAACTTGCTTCTGCTACTGACCGGCCCACTTTAAAATCATACACAAGGTTCATACGGTCCTTAAGAGTCCTTAAAAAGCCCTTATTTTTTTTGGAATCGAGTTTTGGTACTTAAAAGTCTTTAATTTCGACCAAAATCGGCAGAAGGTAATCATCTGAAATTTAATCCTTAATTTTAATCATCTGAAATTTCTGTCTGTTTTTACGACTGCCATTTTGAGTGTGAATTAGCATTCATTATTTTTGGCGATTTGCTGACAAATATGGTTATCTTTTGAATGGGTTCATGGGTTATAATTTGTTCCTATTTCTAATATAAATGGGGGGATAGTAGAGTTTCTGAGCAAGAAGTGAAAAACAAGCATTTTGAAATTATTTCAAAATGCTTGTTTTTCACTTCTTGCTCAGAAACTCTACTATCCCCCCATTTAGCAAAACGTTATCCCCCAAAAAGCAAAAAGTTGTTTAAGAGCTCTTTTATAATGAAGAGCTCTTAAACAACTTTTTGCTTTTTGAGATGTGAATTCGTTAATTAAACCATTCGAAATTTGGCGACTTATCAAATTTTGGCAATTCTAAGATCTGTTTCTATAGAAAATTTTTAATTCCAAGATCTAGGAATTTTTCTACAGTTTTTTTTAGAACATTGATAAATTTAATTTAAGTAATGGTAATATTTTTGAATTATATTTATGAAATAAGATTAAAATAAAGCATTTTTATTTTTCGCTGTGATATTATAAAGTTCCATTTCGGCCATTTATCATATGTGGAAAATAAGCAAGATATAATGCTATAAAGCACCATTTACAAAACAGTTCTTAGCAAAAGAAAACTAGCTATGTAATTAATTAAAAATGTATTTTTAATATTTTCATGGTAAGAATTTTTCCCATGTAATTGTCTCAAAATGTATTCAGAATTTTTAAAATATGCATCATTTTTCTCTAGAGCTTAAGTTGCGCCAGACCCTTCTCTGGTACTTCTTAGTTTTGGGGATAAATCATAATTTTACCCGGAGCACTAAATACGAAAGCTGTGACACTTATTTTATGTACCTAAACAAAATTTCAGTAGAAATTTAATCTCGAAAATTTTATTTTTAGTAATAAAATTATATTAAAAAATCACGTATTAAATTTTAATTTATCTCTTAATATTTCAAGTTTTTATTTATACTATTTAATTTCTTTAAGCATTAATTATTGAATTATTTAATAATTAATATTTTTTAAATTATTAGTGATTTTATAGTCATATTGTTTATTTATTTTAGTACCTCTTTTCTGATGGTGCTCCATGGGACTGTAGCACATCTAATTTTAGAAATTAAGCCCTATTTTTCTCTATAAAATTAATTTTACACTATTTTCCTCCGATTTTTTTTTTTTTTTTTTTTTTTCAAAATATTTCTGGCTTTATGCTGTTACAGAATTGGTAGGGGTAATTTTTTTTTAGGATTTTATCGATTGCAGCTTGGAAAGTTCAGAAAGATAGGAAGGCAAAATTTATAGACTCGCGAATCTAGAAGATTCCAGAAAGAATGTGACAAAATTAAAAATGTCTCCATAGTATTAACACGTAATTTCTTACTTTTTGGAGAACATCTGGAAGAACAGTGAAAACATTATAGTTGAATGCTTTATTTCTGATACTAGAATCTTTTTCTTAACATTTTTATCCCTTTATTTTCTCTACTATTCACTAGAACACAAACATGAAAAATATCAAAAATGCTTTTAATCTTTTCATATGGACAGGCATTATAGAAAGGAATTCTTTTATTAATAAAGAAATTGAAAACTGACAATTTAAAAAATTCATCTAATGCATCATGCACAAAGCTGCCACTAGGCACTTTCCCACCTGATGCAGTCTCTGTGGATCTTAGATTCTGCTGCCTGGTGCCTTTCTAAATTCTGCTTCCAATGCTTGTTGTAAATTCTAAAGGTTTTGCCATTTCAAGAGTTTGTTTGTCAGTGTGTCACTAAATTCTAAAAATTATGCCACATCGGCTGTCTAACCGAACCTTACCATATGTATTTCGTATTTCTTCTGAATGTTCATATTACTAAAGAAATAAAATTAGCAGCTTTTTCTATACATTCTAAATGCATTTCAGTTTATTTAGAATAACAGAAGTGTTTAATTAAATCCAAAAATTCTAAAATGAAAAGGAAACGTGGAAGAAAGAAACTGAAACATGAAAAAAAAAAAAAAGAAAGAAAGAAAGAAAGAAAGAATAAAATTAATCTTCAAACATGTGTACAGTTATTATTATGTAAATTATCCAATTATTTACGATTTTAGCCTTTACTATAATTTCCCATTTCTATTTTCTCACCGGAATGCAAATCACTTTGACAGTTTTTAAACTGAGGGTTTTGGAGTGTAAAACAAGAGTGTGTTTCTAACCTCTATTTGCTCTCTGCTTTAGTTCCTGCCAGCTCTGATAATTTGTAATTATTCGTCTTTACATTACCGCTGCCGACATTTGAGTTTGATTTGATCATTTGATGATAGAGTTTATTGAGCCGGCTTAAAATGAAATTAAATTGTATCGTCTTTGACCACTAGTGCATATCTTTAGTTTGAATTTCACTCTTCTTGTTTAATTACATCACTACAAGCTATAATTGATTTTGTTAGCATAAGAACAGGCCTTTATTTTTTAAGTTCTTTTTAAATAAGAAGCTTATTTAAACCTTTGTCGGACATTGTAGTTACTTTTAGACTTAACGATAATGTGCTTCATATCTGTTGATTGGTTTTCAGACTATTTAACTTTTATCAGATCAAATAAACCCTCATAGGTACATTGTGGACAGGTTCAAAGATAAAACACGCAGAAAGTAGTGAGAACATTTTTTTGTGCATTGAGACAAATTTTTGATTATTAGAAAAGATGCTTAAAGAGAAGGAAATCGATATAAATTAGCCAAAATGTCTTTGAATGTTTCAAATTAAAAAGACGCATAAATATTTTATTGAATATTGTTGCTACAAAACATAAATGTTTTGTGGCTTTTAATGAGTAATTATCCGAATATCGTTTAAGAATCAATGTCATAAATTACGTGCATTTTAAACTGTGAAATTTTATAGATTGGGAATTTAATAGGGCCTTTTTTTAACAAATATTGTTAAAAAATAAATAAAATTTAATAGTGGCCATGTAAATCCATAATGTCTAAAATTATCTAATGCCTAATTTAATTACTTATAAGTAACTGCTTGCAGTTATTGCCTTTCGTTAACTCCTACCGTGGTCACAAGATAAAACGCAAAAATGTAAAAGTTTATGAACTTTTTCTTTGCATCTAGTGAGACTTCAAATAATGCAAAACAACTTATCATCTGTAGTGCTTTAAGGGCTTATTAGAACCTTAAAGTTTATTAACTGAGTCACAACCCCTGGAAGCTAGGACACTAACTGCGTCAGACAGAGCCCAGCTAATTTTCAGAACTTGCTAATCCTGCCTACATCAGGCCTTTCAGGTT